ATGTATTCTATAAACATGCCCAGATAAGCAGTATTCCTAACCTTCAAACCTGGTATGAAGGTATTCATTGTAGTGCACCTGGTATTAAATGTTAATTTGTAAAATAAAGATTTTATATACAGAATAATAAAACATCAGTTTAACAATATATATGAACTGTTGAGCCGAAACCATTAAATCTTTATTTGCGTATTTTACAACTACCTTAACTCGAGAGGCTGAACCTGGCACCCGCAATATTCCTTCTGTTTCTAATCCAGTTTCCTCCAGTCTCTGTAATAACTACAGAAGAAAAGTAAGATAAACATGTATATAAATATATACAGAAACAAAATTGTAAGATTAACAGAAAATCATGGAATTTGTAAGTAAATCCCCTCCCTTTCCCTAAGTGGAAGGAGTTTAATGTAGTTTAAAACTCTCAAACCTTTTTCAATAATAAATCCAGATGATACAATTATACAATGCCCTGCAAAGTATTTCTTAAATTCTTTTGCCTAAGCACTTACATTTACCATGTTTCCGAACAGCTGGCTTCAAGTCTTTGAGCTCAGCTTCCCAGAACTTCCTTTTCAGTCCAAGATCATAAGAGACAGAGCAGTCTCCAGCTATCCATCTACTAGACCCATCTACTAGACTGAAGAAGGGAGAAGGGAGCAAAGAAGAGGAAAAAGTGGAAAGAAGGAAGCAGGGGAATGGCTTGCCTTGCTGTGCCTGTATGTTTGTGGACAATGATTCTCATTATCGATTAGTCGATTTTGGATTAGTTGACTCAGCTCAGCCGCCCCAAATGGCCCGTGCCGCTCCCACTCTGCTCAGCCATTCTCCCCCCTCCCCGAAATGCCGACACTCTGCTCAGCTGTTCTCCCCCTCCCCGCGCTGCCGCCACTCTGCTCAGCTGTTCTTCCCCCCGCGTGCGGCCGCCACCACCGACTCTGCTGCTCTCCTTCCTGTTGAAGTCTGTCACCTCCGATCCTGCTGCTCTCCCCCGCCTGTGTTGGCAGAGGCAGCGGGCATCAGAGAATAGAAAGACCGGCTGTCAGGCACTGGGGCCGAGAGAGGGGAGGTGAGCTAGGTACGGCATTGCTGGATGGGTTGGAGAGGCTCGGAGGCTGTGGGTGTGTGCAATAGCCAGTTTGCTATTGGCCATTGCAATTTGAAATAACCAATAGCAGGCTGGCTTTTGCACCCGCCCACTGCCTGCTGTCAATCAGCAGAGGAGGACCTGAAGGAGAACCTGCTGTGTGTACATTCCTTAGCTGAAGATATTCAAGCTATGTGTGCTTGAGTAGCTCCTAAAAAGTTGAAAGGTGACCCTAGGGGTCTCGTAGACCCCTAATGTCACCTTAAGGAGAACCTGTCAACTCCAATGTGCTATCACATAGGGGACTTTTGAACCACACCATGTGATAGCAATAAAGTTAACAAAAAAAAGTTTAAAAAATAAAAGTAAATAGAAATAATTTTTTAAAAAGTATATAAAGTCCCCTGCCCCCCACGAATGCATGCAAACACTCTTCCCACCCGCAGTGCGATCGCCTGCATTGGAATGCGTAGTACCAAAATGCCGTACTATTGCAAAAAATGTTGCATGCATTTTTATTCTGAAGTAAACTTTCTTTTTGTGACATTCTAGATGTGTATTTTATTTTATTTATTAAATTGTATTTCTTTTATTATTATCTGATTAATCGGAAAAAAAACAATCGGCCAACCAATCGATTATGAAAAAAATCGTTAGTTGCAGCCCTACAATATATACTTTACCTTTTAAATATTAAACATGGATTTTTGAATCACATACAGAATACTGTAAATCATTTTGTAAAAGCGGAGATAATGAAGATGATGTTTTTTTCTGTTTGCATACTTACTTTTTGAAAAATTAGGGGAACTTTAGTACCAGGCACTTTCTTTTGATCATTTTCCAATAAAGTTGTCAGAGGAACTCCGAAAAGACCATTTTCTAAGGATGCAAACAGAGCACAATCATTAAAATATTACCTCTACTGCAACACAACAAACATCTGACCTAAAGCAAATATTATACCTCTTCCTTTGATTCGCATAACTCGATTTCTTTTTAATTCAATCCCCAAAGCATCAAAAAAAGCTGTTAATTCAATAAGTGAGAGATAGTGAATTTTCTTCATGTCTTCAAAAGACAAATCTTCTACTTCAGTTAGCCCAAACCTGCTTTTCCAAACCATGAATTTCTGAAACATAATGAAAAAAATTATTATTTTACCTGGAAAGGCTGCTTAGCATCCTTTATTGCTAGGATGTAGGTAGCTCAAGCTGCGTAGTGTACTTTGTTGCTAGGATGCAGGTAGATTCTTGTTGCCTAGCATCCTTTGATGCTAGGATGCAGGCAGCTTGAGCCACCTAGCGTCCTTGGTCGTTAGAATGCAGGTACCTCCGTTCCGGCTACCATCCTTCATTGTTAGGAAGCTGCCGCTATGTGTCCTAGCAATCCCGAGCACTTTTTTTTGCTGCCAGCTTCTGCCAGCAAGATCCTGTGTACCAGTTGATATAATTTCATAGAGCTGTGTGCATGAACTCTTATTACTTTTAATTTAAAGATAAGTGTTTTATTTGAAATGCAAAATTACTACAAAAGGACTGAACCTTCTACATTAATATTTTGAACATGCAATTTCTATATTTTAGGCCAAAACTAAGGGGGAAACTAAAACTTAATTTTATTTATTTTGCAATAAGTATAGGATTTGCCCAGTTCTAATAGGTAAATACTTGGAGTTCATTGCCTGGCCACAGTTTTAGTTAAAGAATAGGCTTAGGGTGGGCATACATAGCCTAGTGTTTGCAAGTGATGCATCCAATTTGAAAATTTTAGCTTCCCAAGGAGAAGGTTATGGGAGATTTCATAGAGTTCCATAATGAGCTCTTCTCATGGCTGAAGTTGGCCATTGCTATACACAAAGGTTTTTCAGCTAGTGTGAAAATCTCTTTGTGAGTAAGTGGCCATTGTTCCTTTTCTATGGAGGAGAGAGGATGAATATTTTTATATTGTGTGTGTTGCATTTAACCATGTCCGAAAGAATCTCATAGCCAGCACAGAACTATGTTTAATGATGGGCAGATGTTTCACTCCCCGCAGATTTCAGTAAGACATCTTCTACAAATCTCTGGCCAGTCTTAGATTTAGATATCATTGGATATACAACAATTTTCACAATTTGTAACCCAGACGACTAATACAGCTGTGTTAGAGGACCAGATATACAAACAATGCTGATTACTTTTCACATTACATTTTATTACATTGCTATTGACGTCAAGCTAGTCTTTACATGTGACTAAATGTTATGATAACTTGATTTTAATAAAACTATTCTTAGCTGTTGCTTAAAAAAAATACACAATGCACTTTTTGGCATAAGACACTCTCTATGTTTAATTAGCATGGTCTTTTGAGGCAGTCTAGCTCCAGCAAGAAACAAAGCAAAAGAGCACCAAGTAAGTAGGTGAGGTATCAATGGCAACAGGCTCAATTCACTAAGCTGTAAGTCATTCTGAATTGAGAAAGCCGGTCAGATGTCCAGTGAAACGTCTTCAAGAAAAAAACAGCAAGTCCAGTTGCCTTGACTTATTTTTTACAGATCTCCATTGGGATACCTGTTCCAATGACCAAGGTCATAGATTATTTTTTTGCTGGGGGACAGGGTGTTCAGCAATAGGAGAATAATAGCGAGTGTGGCAACATTATGCTTACCATGGCAGGCGATTAAAACTGGAGCCTACTCATTGTGTACCTGGTAACATATGCTTTTCTGTACTCAGTCTATCTTGAAAAAATGTATTAACATAGTCAGTGACTACTTAGCTCCCAGTAACTGTTGTACAATATAGCATACAGAGTGCAGTGGTCAGGTGTATGAGATAACCTAGCAAGGCACAAGTAAAAAAGTAAGGAAAGTTTGAAGAGTTTAGAGGTCAGGAGTGAGTAGTAAGTAACGCAGTGTTTAGGGGTTAGTAGTAAGTAATGTAGAGTGTAGGGGTCACGATTTAAGTAGAGTGCAGAAGTCAGTAGTAAGTAGTAGGTGTGAGTATAAGACACTACAGGTAGCAGATCTGCCAGCCAATGAGATCCCAAAGCCAGGCACTCTGGTGGGCGGGACATCGTACAATGGTCTTGTTGTTAGGACATGCTATCCAGGGACTCGATGGGCTGGGTGGAAAAGATTCAAGCTCTGCACATCCACTACTGTGCCTGGGCAATGGATGGACATATGTGGGAGGTTTGGACCCCCATAACCCATTCATTATCCAGCTCATGAAAACCATCTAAGGGAATTTCACTTTGGAAAGATATTCTATCACTTGTTAAGTTTACAGGACAGGGAGTGAAGGAAAATATTCTTAGAGACAGATGCTCAAAAAAACAGCAGTTCTAACCCTCCCTATTGTATACAAAATAATAATAAAAACATACTTTAGACTTTTTTGGTTTTAGAATACCTTAAAACTCCAAATCAGGAGTGACAAACACTTATTTACACTAATCCAATTGTCACAATGCTCACCAAACTTAACATCTTCTAACTGCAGCAACTATTCCTGACCCCACATAAATTATTAGTTCAGTGTAGTCATTTCTATCACAGTGAAGCTAAACATGTATATTATATTTGTAGAAACAGTATGTGACTGGGGGCAGGGACAGTGAATAACCTCTTCCATCAGAGGCTTTTCAGTCTGGAAGGTATCATGATGACAGGCTCCCTTTAACCCATATACTATCTGAAAATCACATACTATTTATAAATTACTCTATTAGGACTTACAGGCAAAATACAATCATCCTTTTTTATTCTGTGTTTCTTCTGCTTCTCTTTATCTTTATCATCAATAACAATGGTCTCTGAAAAGGATACTTCAAAAGATAGCTCTTCTGCTACCGACGGACTGACTTTTTCTAAAGCACAGTTGTTAGCTGAAACAACACAAACAATATATACCGCTCGTTATTTCCAAATAATAATAAAAGTCAATTTTTTGTGAAAAATTCTTGTAGGAGCTCATTGCTTTCAGTCATGTTGCTAAAATGTTCTAATATTTGTAATGATGTAAAAAATATGTTACTCATAGATAACTTGTAGATAACACATACATATCTAAGAGTACTTAAATAAGAGACTCTAACCTGTCTAAGGGCCTGTGTTGCCAGTTTTGTTCGCGTTAGGCAGGTTTTGCACTCCAATACATGACTATGGGTATGCAAAACAAGTTTTAAACAAGTCTAACGCAGGTCAGAAGAAAGTCAACTGGAGGTCAATTGCACCTGTCAGTAACTTCTGAATGATCTCAAAAGCACCACAAATTGTTGTTAAACTGATGCCAATGATGCAGGCCCAAAAGCAGCCTACTAGGACTGGGAACCTTTGGCCTAGGGGCTAAACACAACCAACTAACCCTTTGATGGTAGGGGCAGGTCTCTGTGAGCCCTAGAAAGTGTGCCATGCAAAGCATGCTATGGTGCTGCATTGGTCACAGACATGGCAAAAAGTCATGGTTTATTGTGGCACACCTTTATATATCTTCCAGCATCAGCTTCTTGTGTGGCTCTATGCATTCAGTCTAATGACATCTCATAGCTGCAGGGAAAATTGGTGCTGAAAGATTTCCCTCTGTCAGACATAGTGAACACAAGTCTGAAGAGGAAGCAGATAACTAAAAACATGTTGTCATGTGTTGTTGACTGTGTTTGCCGCATTGATATCTAAGTGGTAAAGTATCTCCACTCAGGAACACTAACCTAGCATATAATATTAGTACTGGTCCAAGGGGGAGGGGGCAAATGCCTTCCTTACCCCCCAGCCCAGTCCTCCCCTGCAGCCTACAGTTCTCCAGGGCCATCACCCTAAATATATTGTGTAATTTTCAGTGTACAGTTTTCAGTTTAATCAGTTCAGATGCTGTACTATTACCTGAAAAATATATTGCCGCTGTTATACTAAAAGAGTAAAAGTCCACCCTATTCTGTCCAGTTTGGTTATGAAGAATTAAAAAAAGAGGATCTGATTTAGCAAAGTGTTTGCCTTGGGCTTCAGAAATGTTCATGCCAATCTAGAGCATGGTAGGCACTTCAGCTGTGATGAACCTTTAAATCCAATCATGCCTTTGCCTCTGGGAGTCATGACTGTGTTTTGACTCGCCTCATGGGACTTGTACTTCCACTAAAGCTGGAGTACTAAGGTTTCCTACCCTTGATCTAGGGTCAAGATCATGATTGTGTTTAACAATTACACAGTATATACAGTATTTTTTTTTAAATCTGTCTAAAAACTGTACGGGTCTTGATCACACTAACTAAAAGTACACATTCCCCATTTAAAAGCCTATGCGGACTGCTGTCCTCCTGGGTATTTGAAAGAAACACAGGCATGACTGAGATTTCTCCTTCAGTAAACAGCCCCATAAGCTTTTATTTAATAGCAGAGTGCAAAAATAATCAGAATATGACTTTGATCTGCTCGGTGCAATCAATCTATAACTGTGACTGGCTGTCATAACCGACTGCACTGCTTTTTGCTTCATTAAACAAAGGTCATACTTTGGGGATAATTGTGTAATTAAATTAGTTTAGGAATACAGTATATGCGTGAGCTGATATAAACTACAACATTTAAAGTAGCCTTGCCATTAGTGTCTCCATAACGAATCCATTATTCACATTTGATTAGTGTTCTTTAGGAGAAAGTTATAGGAGTAGAAATATTTTGTATATTGATTTATTGTGACTGCTGTTTTACAGTTCTTTGATATTCAGACGGCTTCAGTACCAGTAGAGTTACAAAAACTTCTCATTTTACTATTTCTCACATTGTGTTAGCCCAGCTAAACTACCTTACTGGACATGCACAACCCAAAGTAGGGATGTTCAGATACCAAGTACTGTACTCGGTACAAGTACATGTACAGATACTTTTCCAGCTCCAAGACTAGACTAGAGAAAAATCCAATAGTTAGGAGGCAGCTGTCATTTGTAAGGAGCATACGGAGCTCCTGGAATGTTTGCATCCCTGTTTTAATGTATGATTTTTTTTTTTAGAAGTAAATATAAGAGATGCACCGATACCATTTTTTCAAGTGCAAGTACTGATACCTGTCCAAGTACTCACAGATACAAGTACTGATACATTTTGTCATGTGGCAGTTTTTCTAAAACAATACAGACTAATGATTTCAGGACAGTGGTGGAGCGCCACAGCTAGGTACCAGCTGCAACCGCTGTGACCCTGGTAGTTTTTGTGAAAATGCCAAATATTGGCACTGGTATCTGAACTGGTATCTGAACATCCCTCACCCAAAGGCTTACAATGCTAAAGCTACTACATGAAAAGTACCTTCAATATAACATTGGCTTAAGCCCAAAATCATCTAAAGGAAAATCTCTCACACAGTTTATGATTCACAAGTCAAAGGACAGAGCACAAATAAAATTACTTAAAAATAAGGCAATCATATATGTGTAATATCAATATTAAAGAACTCTGAGCAAATAAAATCTTAATACTTGCAGTGGTGCTACCCCCTCACTGCAAGGGTTAAGTGCTCGTTTTGTCCAAGGAGTCTCACCTGAACCATGATCTTGGCTGGTTTCTAGACTGGTCCCTTCAGTCTGTCTTCCCCTCCACTCCTGCAAATGGCATCCTCACAATCTATACACTGTATAGGACGTGGTGACTCACTGGACCTTAGACCGCTGGAGTGGAGGGAGAGCAAGGCTGAAGGGACCGGTCTAGCAGTACAACTCTGTTATTTTAGCTCCCTATACAAAACGAGCATGTAACCCTTGCAATGCAAAGGTAGACCCACTCCAAGTGTTAAGATTTTATTTGCCCAGAGTTATACTTTAATATCAATGTGATATCAATAGCCCAAGAGCTGCAGAAACCCTTGTAAATGAAAAATCACACCTTCAAAAGGTAAAATGAGGATATTAATCATGCTAATATATAATTTAAAAATCTAAGCGGCAACCCAGCAACACAATAATGATTTGTCTTTTGATAATGTATGAACAATAAACTTTCTAACGGATGTTTCTGCGTATGCTGATGGTCCTGATTTAACTTTTTATTGAAGGTATTTCTTGTAACAAAACCTTGCATTTTATTCAACAGAAAAAGTTAAACAGTTACACTCTACAGTTTACTAAGAGTTCAAATCTGACTTACATGTAATTGGTTTCCAAATTGGTTTCGTTACAGGTCTTTGGACCCCGTTTGATGGAAGAGGAGATACTGGTAAAGGTTCAAATGTTGGCTGAAATAAAGAAAGAGAAAAATACTGCTTTGATAAAATATAACACTCATTTTGAGGATACAGGAAAAGAACAGATAAATTAATAAATAAGTTAATGTACTGTGTATACCAACATTATTACCACTGCACATTTTAACTACTATCAATACAAACACTACTAAATGCATTCACTTGTAAAATCTCACAAGCCTCAGTGTGCTGGTAATATGACAATTGGCAGGCAGAAATCTCAAAGTTTGTTCCTCTTGGTGGGAAAATCGCTCATCTATTGCCAGCCTTAAAGGCTCAGTACTGCTATAGTATGAGTATGTCTGCACTTCAAATCAAAAGAACTGAATGGCCCACTACATAGAGATTGAATAATAAAACTGCTTGGTTTGTTATACAGTACATCAAAATGAAAATTTTACAGATGCATTAACAAGCACCCACTGATTTCGACAGTTTCTCCCAAGAAACTCCCCCTCGCCCACCCTGGAAGAGCTGATGACAAGATAATAATGAATGTTTCATCAAAAACATTTTCGGTGTTATTAATGCCTGGGATTTGACTTTTGTCTTTTGAAGACCAGATTTCCAAGTTAAAAAGTACAATATTACTTTAGTTTTTCTGCTATAACCAGGTGAAAAACTAGTATTGAACAGTCCTGCAGTGCTCCTACCTTCTTACAGGAACGCTGCTGTACTTTGTTCTCACTTTAGGTAATTCCACTGCATCCCTGGTAAAGCAGCTCTTTGAGGTTAAAGAGTTAATAAAACAGATCAAACCCGTTTAAGAGTTAAAAATAGGGATGCACCAATACTGGTTTTTCGGTACTGAGTACGAGTACCGATATTTTTTTTCCCGGTACTCGCCGATACCGATACCAGAAGTCCCATTAAGGAAGCCAGGCGCCGTGTAATGATGCATTGCCTGGCTTCCTTATTGGTCGAGAAGCTGACCAATCAGGAAGGCAACATGACTTACTGCTCACTGCCTGGCATCCTGATACCGGAAGCTTAAGTATCGGGCTAAGTATCTGAGCATTGGGACGAGTACGAGTACTCGCCCAAATACTCGGCATCGGCACAGATACTGGTACCAATGCACAAGTTGCGCAAGTTGGTGACTTCTGTTTTATGTTGACCCTAGCGCTCAGAGTTTCCTGGCTACTTAAAACCTTGGTTGGGATCCCCTCAAGCAGATTTATATGGAGACACTCCTTGCTTTATGATTCTTCACCCTAGCCAGGGCTCAGTTTGAAGAGGACCTAGAGAGGGTGCTAGAAGCAGTATTGTTTTAGTTCCATCTGGACTAACAAACTGTTAAATAGGAGCATTTCGCATATATGTTAACTTTATTTTATCTGGTAAGAGTTCCTTTTGATCTCCAACTGTTAGACAGGCAGCAAGTGAATCCTAGCTTATTTTTATTTTTCATATTATTATGGGTTTTAAAGGGGTGGCCACAAAATGTCCCCTAAGCCAGGAATCCCAACGGTGGCAAACAGCAATGTCCCTCCACCGTTGGCTACTGGTACTATAGGAACGGTGTCTCCTCTTTTCTGCGACTATGGTCAGGTGTGTCTTAGAGAGGAGGCTTCACAGGACTGGCCATACAGATGAAGGGAGTCTACATGTTTAGTTTTGAATAGAAAAGGTTAAAATTCCTACCAATTTTTACCAGTTTTCTTTTTGCTGTCTGTGTAATAATGAGGAGAGTTCCCTTCACGTCTTGTCCTGGAGACACAACAGGGAGTGAGAGGAAATCTCTCCAAAGGAAAATTTCCCTTGGACAATTTTCACCAGAACAGGGATCCTCACGGGAAGATTTTCCCTCACTTTCTGTTCTACTGACAACTGTACAATTTTTTTAATTTCCAAAACTTACTACCGTATTTTATGAAAATAGAGAGCATGGACTAACCCAACAGGGATAAAGACAGCTGTTAAAACCTGCCTATACATATACTTTACTCAATCAAATGACTCAACTCACTGGGAGTTGGAGGTCAGAAGTCACCTAAGGTCAGACATTTGCTCTTCTGCCAACTTAATGAACACATGCTGTCTCCTGTCTTTGCACAGCAGTATCACATAACTGAGGACTGCAATTAGGAGCAAAGTAAATAACTACAGGGACCTTTCTGAGACTTATTGTTTCTAAGGAATTAGAGGCCCTCTCTTCTCACCACTGACTCATAACATTAGGAGTTAGGGAAAAACATACTGCTAAATAACTGGTTAATGAAAATATTGCATTGCAATGCTTTCCTGACATTTTATCACATGGGTAAACACATACTGGTGTTATTGGGCTAATGCACAGTGCTTAGCTAAGATGATAGGAACATCGTTGGATGCAATGCTAGTGCATCACCAATTGACTCTAACCATAAGCATCTTGACTCATGTTTGACCTGCAGGTTTCTAGTGCAATAATGTGAACCAACCCTCAACAGTCAAGTGTTTCTATGGGCTCAATTGACCTTTGTGCAGAAGACAACATCCTGACTCCTGACTCTATGTTGCCCTTTTTTCGAGAATGGCATTTTGGCCCACTTGGGATACAAATTAGGATACACATGTAGTAAATGCAAACAAGTAATCTCTGCAGACGAGTGTTTGCTTATGAAAGAATTCCTGCACAAGATGGTCCAGTGAATAGAAGTAATACTGTAGGTACACCTAAGGTTCCATTTTAGCAATCTAGGATTCTGGACATGTAATTTTAATAATACACAAGTTAATAAGTTAATACAGGTACTGCAAAAGTTGCAATAGTGGTACAAGTCCAAGTAAAGTTTTTTAAACAACATGATATTAGCATGTGTGGTGTTACAAGGTATAATAAACTTTACACTGGACATGGAATTCCAGAATAGTGATTTGGTTTGGTGAACATGAATTGTAGTCAATTAAAATTTATAATCAGAAGCTAGGTCTGAATTGAAATTAAGTTTATGTATAGCCAAAACCTTTTTCTTGTTTTGGACAGAGTATGGAAGGGTTAGAACTTGGGATGCACCGATACCGATACTAGTAACGGTATCGGTGCCGATACCGAGTATTTGGGTGAGTACTGTATCAGGAAGCCGGGCAGCGAATCATTACACGCTGCCCGGTTTCCTGATTGGCCAGGGAACGGCTCCGTGCTCACTTGTGATGAGAGAGCATGGAGCCGGGTAGCGTGCAATGACGCGCTGCCCGGCTTCCCGATTGGTCAGGAAGCTAGCATTCTGATTGGCCGGGAAGCCGGCGTCATTGCTCCCTCATCATCTCATGAATCATAATATTAAGAAAGTGACCTTAAAGCATTAGTTTGTATTGCTTTAGAAAAAATATGGCCTGTCCCTTTAAGAAAAAGTATCGGTAATTGGTATCTGTGAGTACTTGATCAAAAGTATCGGTACTCGTACTCCGTCTTAAAAAAGTGGTATCGGTGCATCCCTAGTTAGAACCCATGCCAGTTTTTCTTTTCTGATTGCTTATTGTCCTTGGGACAGAAAGTGAGGGAAAATCCAAATGCTTGAGTTAACACTAGGAAAAGGGGAAGTTTCCAATGGGAACACTTGTTCTGGTGGCAATTATCTAAGAAAGGATTTACCTTAAACTGGAGATATTTCATATCACCTTCTGTATCTATAGAGCAGGATGTGCAGTTAATTCTGTCCAGTGGCACATGGATGGCAAAAAAAACCTGACGGGTTTCAACCATCACCTACTCTATCCAAAACTGAAAAAAGTTTAAGCTTTATCAAATATACTTTTAATAAATGCATCCAGTAATCTCAGTACAATATCCTAGAATGCACCTAAAATGTTATCAGGAAATGCTAAATTGTATTATGATTTGCATTCATAGGATGTTACTGACATTCTTTCAGCTGTGAAAATACAATTAACAAATCGTCCCTCCTCACATTTCAGAACAGCTTGCTTTTCTTTCAAGCACACCACTACAGGAAGAAACATTTTACGCTTGTGCCTCATTCATTGAACTTCCTCTGCTTTATCAAGGTTTCCTGTTACATTTGCAAATATTTTTTCTTATGGAATTCCTGACCTTTGCTAACGAGGCTGAGTGCGCCTTCTTACAAACTATCACTCCATACACTTGGCATAGAGGAGACTTTTCCTGCCTATAGTGTTTCCAGATTCTAGTTGTATACAGTATGTTTTAGAGGAAAGAGGGTTCATTAATTACCCACGGAATTCTCATACTATTATAAAAAAATTGCATTTCAGTGTTTATATTTGTAACATGTCCCCATTCACACAACATACCTTAACTTCCTGAACAAGGAAGGAGCTCCTCCTGAACATGGATAGAAGCTCCTTTTGTGATGCCCAATCAGGTGTGGGTGGGGAATTTCCCACCCCTAGCTTGATGGAAGCAAGGGGGCAGGGTGCAGTGACATCATTCATCTTATACAGTATGGCCGCATGGCTATAGTAAGAAAATTACATTTACCTAATATGACCAAAAATGTCAAGCCTGTCCTTGTTCATTAGGAAGAGGTGGTTATTTCTGCTCAGATCATTCATGATATAAATTATATATAAAATACATAGAAAGTGGGAACCCCTCCAGACTGCCACAGCTGGTGTACAGTTTGAGGAACTTAATCAACAGAGTCCCCAAGGGACATAAGAACCTGTCAGGTGATTTATCTCTTCAGCATCTACCAAAATCTGAAATATCAATTAGATAAATGTAATGTTTTATAGGAATGCATAAAAAGAGACAGGAATCACCAATGCTATTCTCTGCAGAAGTTAACTTACAATACCAGAGGACAGGGCAGTGCAAGGATTCTTGCCTACACAGGCAAAGGTGCCGCCCCCCCCACCACCACTTCCCCAGCACCCCTAAGGCAGCTGCCTATGCCACCTTGCCGGCCCTACCAGAGGATATGAAAACTGCCATATTTCAGTGAAATATCAATGTTTGCAGCTTTCTGGATGAAGTGGGGCACAATACACAATAATTTATACCAAAAAAGAGAATGCAAATAAAAGATAAGTTTACTTGTTATTGAACCTTCAGTTTATACTCACTGTTGATTCATTAATTCCAAAGATATCCCTCACATCCCTCACTGAATGCTTGTTCTTTATTCTCATAGTCTGAGTATAAGTGTTGTATCTTTTTTGTACAGCAGCTGATTGTGCCCGGGTCAGCGTAGACAACAAAGCCTGGCCATCATGTTCCTGAGTGCCAGAGATAAGAGTAGAAAGACCCACTTCTTGTAACCATTCTGCTTCCAGCTCTCCATCTGTAAAACATAATTATATAACAATTTACTGGAAAGCGAGTACAGAGATGGATTGTGTCTGGAATTATTTAGAATTGTTTTAGATGGCTGGGGGACTATAGCTACTGCAATATTTCTAAACAGATGCCTAAAAATCTTCAGTTTATTCAGTATGCACATGAACACAACCACACTATTGTTATAGCTAACTGTATGCAAAGATAAAGTACAGGTGTGTTTTGCGTATATATATATATTTTAAATATATATATTAGGGATGCACCGATACTGGTTTTTCGGTATCGAGTACGAGTACCTATACTTTGCTTTTGGTATTCGCCAATACGATGACCGATGCTTCCGCTGGCATGGAGCCAGCTACTCAGCCAATCAGGAAGCCGGTTGGTCAGTAATGACCTGGCTCCGAGCTTCCTGATTGGCTGGGAAGGTGACTTGATGATGATTGGCTGTTGAAGCCGCACAAAAGAAACAAAAACGCAGTTATGACTCCCACAGGACTGCTCCTCCTTCATATCAACCGGGGGATATGGTGTGGCTTTCCACCTGAAACCTGCATCTTAACGTTCCCTCAAAGAAACTTGGCCGACTCTGCCTCCGCAGTTGTGATCCACAAACCCCCAACCTCACACCAGGTGTTACACTGGAAAGCCGGCTTCCCAGCCTATGAGCATCGAGCCGACTGTTTGGCCAGCTCCATGCTGATTGGCTGGGAAGCCAGTTTCCCGGCCTATCAACAAGGAGGCGGCTGTTCGGCCGGCTCGATGCTGATTAGCTGGGAAGCTGGCTTCCCAGCCAATCAGAATGGAGCTGGCCTCCTGGCCAATCAGGAACCCGGGAGGCGGGTCATTACTCACTGTCCAGCTTCCTGATCGCACAGGAAGCTGGCTCCATGTTCCCCTACAGCACTACCGGTCACAGAAAATCTTCCACTGACCGGAAGTTCCAGCTTCGGGGAAGGTATCGAGCATTTGGATGAATATACACTAGTATCGCTATCGGTGCATCCCTAATATATATCCCCATTCTCAGGGTATTATTTGTTTGTATGTCATGTTTTACTAAAATGTATTCACATGAAGAGATCCGCCCTATCCTTTATTACCTATATCATTATCACCAGGGATGGCATCACAGGGTCCCTTATTCCATGATGTCCCAGGCCCCTCAGCAACTGCCTGAGGGTAGTGTGGCAACAGACATCATACAGTTTTTGATTTTACATTTTTATTAAGCTCAAAGATAATAAGTTCTGTGGATTCCTTATCTTTGTGAATTATTATAATATCGTGTTCATCTCCGATTTAAGGCTTATTCACATCATCTCCAGACCAGTGCATTTTTTTTATCTGCACCAAAAATGTACACAGTAATCTCAATGGTTTTAAATTAAGGGGTCTATTCACAAAGCTGCCGAAGGATCTGGCCGTAGCTTCGGCCGATCCTTCGGCTAGCTTCGGCCACAGGACCCCTTCGGTTCAGGAGAACCGAGGGGGTGCTGTACGGGCCATTCACAATAGCCCGTACAGCTCCCGATCACGGCCGAGCGGCTCAGTCGAGCCGATCGCATATGCCTCGGCTCGGCTGAGCCGTGCTGAAAGCCGAAGCTGGCCGAGCGGCCGGCCATTGGCTGGCCGACAGCCTGCTTCTGACAGCTGGGCCACTTTCAGAGAGATCAGCGTCCCTGGTTGCTAACCAGGGACACTGATCTCCAAATAGCTGACTCTCCCTGGCACCCCGGGAGTCTCCTGCTCCCTGCCGCCAAGGAGAAAAACCCCGCTGTTTCTTTTTTCTTTATTCTGAGACGAGCATGTCAGAATAGAGAAAAAAAAAAAAGAAAAATTCCCATTCAAAAGCATTGGGACATTACTATTGGCTATTTCAATTTCAATAGCCAA